TCCTCTTCCAGGCTGTACTGCCAGTTCAACACTGTGTACGGTGACAGAGGATGCTGGTGGCGAATGGATTTGGAGCCAGACATACCCAAGACTGCCTCCCAGACTTCCACTTGGTGGCTGCGCAGCTTTAGAAATCCACCCATTCCCTGAACCACAATTTCCCCAATGCAAAATGGGTACAGTGGTCATCATAATAGGATGGGCTTTATTATGATAGTAAATTAGTGAAGACTAATAAAGAGCTAGCACAGTGTCTGGTATGGAGTAAACAGTCAACGTATGTCAGCTAAAGGAAAGAAAAAGAAGAAAATGAAGAGCAGTGTTCACTCCCATTCCTCTATTACCTTCCTGTCACCTGAGACACACCTGTGTCTGGGTCAGATCCAGGGTCCAGGCAGAAGTACATGCTCACCTTGGTTCTCCCAGAGGCCAGAATCCCAGACTTCTATTGTTCCCTCCTTGCCTGGGAAATGCTCCTTTTCTCTATGGCTCTGTGCGTTGGTGACTGGAGCAAGGCTCCAGGGCCAGATTGCCCAAGTCAAAAACCCAGCATGGAGCTGCCCCTTGTGAAAGTTGCCTAGGTGTTCCTTGACTCAAATGCTCCATCAACTATGTGTCTTCTTTTTTCTAATGAGTCCTAATGTCCCATGTGTATGAATGAAGTCATTTAGCCTTCTGAGTATATTATACATGTACACCTAAAAATGTAAATATCTTGAAGAAATTAAGTTTGTTTTCCATTTATTTTAAATGCCCACAGCATTTAGTAAAATAGACCCTCCAGAATGTGCCCAGCTTTAAAAAAGAAAAAAAGTCATGTTCCACAAATCAAATAAGAAATGTGGCTATTTTCATTTAAAATGCTAATCAGGATTAAGCTGACCTCATTGGTATCGTTTTGTACTACATCACTATCATTGCCTTTCAAATTATTCCATGACCCACACAAAACCTATAGACTAAAGGATGATGTTTTCCTTAGCACATTAGAATTTTCAGAAAGTTTGGCTATGTACTCTTCTGAAAAATAATATGTTAGGTGGTGTGATAGTTAATTTTATGTATCAACTTGGCTAGGACACAGTACCTAGATATTTGGTCAAATGATAGTCTAGATCAGCGGTTCTCAACCTATGGGGCGCGACTCCTTTGGGGGTCGAACGACCTTTCACAGGGGTCGCCTAAGACCATTGGAAAACAAAAAGATATTTACGATTCATAACAGTAGCAAAATTACAGTTATAGAGTAGCAATGAAAATAATTTTATGGTTGGGGGTCACCAAAACATGAGGAACTGTATTAAGGAGTCACAGCATTAGGAAGGTTGAGAACAGCTGGTCTAGATGTTCCTCCTGTGGAGGTGTTTTTCAGATGAGATTAACACTTAAATCTAGAGTTGGAGTAAAGTACATTACCCTCCATTATCTGGGTGGTCCTCATCCATTAGCTGAAAACCTTAAGAGAAAAAAGACATCTCCAGCCCAGCCCTCTGCAGTGCTGAATTCATCTCTGGCTTGACCTGGTGACATTATATAAAAATATCGGCTGGGGACTGTTGTCTTACAGCTACGTCCTCGACTGCCCCCCCACACACACACACCATCCCCTGACCTAATGAGATCATGAGGGAGTGTCTCGGAATGCTGAAACCCGATGGAATGATGTCAGTTATCTCCCTTTTTATCATGGCCGTGGTACAGCTGCACCATCCTAGGGGTTGTGTGTGTGGGAGTATGAAGGCACAGCAGGTGTTGGAATACAATGGGGCTGGTTGATGGAAATTAGCCATAAGGCACTTATCACACGGACTTTAGAAAAAA